CCCTGGCGGTTCCATTGCCACTGCTCTGGGTGCTCTGCCCTCTGACCCACTCAGCCTTGTTTCAATGGAATTGGAGAGTGGTGGGTCTCATGATGGTGATGTTTAAAAGGAACACAGTACTTACGCGTCACAGCCACTGGTTTGTGAGCCGACTGATGACTTACAAGCTACAAGGTGACTTCCAGGGCTACTTTTGGTTTAAGGCTTACAGAACATTCCAGGAAATGTGGGAAGAAAAGAAATTCAAAATCATGAAAGACACCAAGCTTACTGGTTGGGTAGAGACAGGTGGGACCCCCAAGATAGCCCTTGGTCACCCTGGACTGGACGCATCAGACATTGAAAACCAATGGGCAGCATGAATCTAAGGACAATGATTAGGAAAGGGGGAGGAGCAGGAACAGAAGACGGGGGTGGGGGTGCTAAGTGATGGTCCCATGAAGGGGTTGCCATGGAAACATTGAATGAAACCTTGAATGTGAGCCTGTTGACCTGTCCTGTAAACCTTCCCTTAACTCATATGGAAAAGTTAAAAGCTATACATAGTTTCTCAGGGCAGTAGTCTTGGGTGTCTTCCAATCTCAAATAATCCAATAGATCTGTTTTGTTTTTTTTTCTTGGTGGTTGGGGCCAGGGTTTGAGATTCTGTTCCACATGTTCCTCCCATTTTTATTGGGGTCCATCAATTGTGGTTCTGATTCCAAACCAGAACCCTCACTTCCATCAAGTCGAGGCTGACGCATAGTGACTCCTTTGGATGAGGTAGAACTGCCCTTGTGAGTTCTCAACCCTGTAACTCTTTGAGAATAGAAAGCCCCATCTTTCTCCTGTGAAGCGCTAGGTGGTTTTGAACTGTTGACCTTGCAGTTAGCAGCCCAATGCTTAACCACCACTCCACCAGGGTCCTGTGGCCCTGATGAGCGGGGTACTGTTTTCCATGGGCATAGAAGTACCTCGTGGGCACAGCCTGCCCCATCATGACTCCAGAGTCCTAGAGAGAGAGTGGTCAGCCTTGGTGCAGAGGGAGCCCAGCTGGCCCTGAGCAGGCCTCATTGTGGTGCAAGCTTCCTGGCTTCCTCCTTGCCCACCCCCCTTCCTCCAGGGACTCTGGCCAGCAGCCTCAGGTGCTCAATGGAAGCCGATTCCAGCAGTCACATTCCACAAGGACAGAAGGAACATCCTTAAGGGAGGAATGCCATCAGCAGGTGCTTTCAGGGATCCGAGAGGAGGCTGGGTGCCAGACTGGGCCACGGGGACGGGATGCACACACCATGAGACCAGCAGAGGATCTCATCTCCTGCCTGCCCTGGGGCTGGGCTGCCTGCAGGAAGGCCAGGTGAGGTGGGGGCTGGCCTGGGTGATTATGGCAAACCTCATGGAGGGCCTGGGTCAAAGAGGTCTCTCCTTCCGGGCTCAGGTCACAGCACCCACCGCTGGAGGGCACAGGAAGGACAATATGGTCCACTCCAAAGAGACGATTGGGACGACCTCCCACTCCTACCTCACAAACATGGAGACTGAGGTCTAGAAGGGGAAGAGCCCCCGGAACGGGGCCCAGCAGGCTTCGTGTTCACCCTGGGCTCACTCTCTGAAGCAGGGGTTCTCAACCTTCCTAAGGCCGCCACTCTTTCATCCAGTTCCTCATGCAGTAGTGGCCCCCCAACCATCACATGATTTTCATTGCAACTTCATCACTGTCATTTTGCGACTGTGATGAATCGGGCGACCCCTGTGAAAGGGTTGTTCGGCCTCCAAAGGGGCCTTAGCCCAGTTTGAGAATCGCTGCTCTGAAGTCTTACGCCCCACCCCTCATCAGTGCCCGCCCTCTGTCCTATTCCTTACCAACCTTCCCACCTGCTCTGCTCCTCTCCCTATTGTCTGCAGCCCATGCCTGCTCCTCGGGAGAGAGTCCCCCTCCCAATCTTGTTCCTCTCCAACACGCTCCTCCTAGTCCTCCTCACCTGTCCTGCCCCTCCCTCCACCCTCCCCACCCCAATCCTGCCCCTTCCTCCCCCTGTTCATCACACCAAAAACTGGGTGGCCACCACAGTTGAGTCTACTGTCCCCCTGGCTCTGTCCCACGTTCACCCCATAGACAAGTCTCTTTTCCACTGTGGATGGGCCCTGAGTTCAACCATCATCATCTCCTGTCTGTCTGTCTGTCTGCTGACAGGGGCTTCTCATTTACCCGAGAGCCTTTGAGTACAGAATCCGGAGCTCTCGACTTCAGCCACACCAACCTTGAGTTTCCTTGAATGACTAGTGCCTGGGCCATTAGATACTGCTCTCTATCCCCCACCCCAAACCCCATGGTATTTGGGGAGCCCAGGGAGGGTGGCTCCCTCTGACCCTCAGGTCTTTAGGGTAAGGTGACCAGATGTCCCGCTTTTGGCAGGACAGTCCCGATTTTTAACAAATTTTTCCGTGTCCCGCGGCGTTTTTAAAAAGTCCCGATATTTGGAAAGAATGCACGACAAGCTAGGGTATACGGTTTTCGGCTGCCATGTGGCTATTTCGCTAGGATATGAGTTTTATCAATGGTGTCCCACTTTTGTCCTACTTTACCAATGTTAAAATCTGGTCACCTTACTTTAGGGGGCAGTTCAATGTCACTTCCTCAGAGAGACCGTGAAGGCCACCGGCCTTAGGCACCCTCCCCTGCCATCAGGTCGATTCTGACTCAGAGGGAGCCCAAACAGGGTTCCCAAGGCTGTAACTCTTGACAGGAGCAGACAGCCTCTTCCTCTTCCTCATGGAGTAGCTGCTGGGTTTGAACTGCAGACCTTGTGATTAGCAGTCCCCTGCTTGTCCAACTGCATTATTCTCCCTCCTGGCACTTCTTACTGTTTATGATGATATAGCTCCTTGTGGGCTTGCTAAACCGCTCCCCACTGAGAACCTCAGCTATGTGAGTACAGATGGGGGCCTGGAAGGTGGTGTTATGTCCCCAGCCTTGACAGGGCTTTGCCACCCAGCCCAGTGGCCGGTACCCTAGTAGGTGCTCGATCACTATGCACAGGATACAAGAAGGGCTGAGTACATGCTAGCAGGAAGTCTCTTTAGACTCAAGAGCAAGAAAACCCACTTCCTAAAGAGCTTCACCTTCTTTCTGCTGCTGTACACACAGACATCCGCATAAGCAGCACACAGCAAGGTATGTAAGCCAGGCGCAGTTACAGCACCCACCAAGGCCCAAAGCTCATCCGTCCCAGGAAGCAAGTGACAGAATCGCGACCAGCCCAAGACAATGGGAACATGGGAACCACCATTGAATCAAGCACCCGTCAATCAATCGGTTATCAATCACTGCGCAAATATTTAACGAGCCCTGCCCACACACTTATCTTTACCTGAAGAGCTAATCAAATCTCACAAATCCTTCAAAGACCCAGCTCTACCAGGGCACCGCTGATAGCCTGATGACACCAGCCTTCTTTGCCGTCCCATCCCCTTGAGATGGATGAAGTCCCCCTCCAGAGGCTCCATGCACACCATTGGGCCCCCTCCCTCCAGCCCCTGTGTCTTACCTTGACTGGAGGAAAAGAGCGTGAAGATGGGGGGGCAGCCCATGACGACCACCTGGCCGAGCGGGGTGGCCGGCCAGCAGGTGAGGTTGTCCCACATCTTGCCACAGCCTGTGGGGTGAAGGCAGAGGGCATGGGGTTGAGCATGGCCGCTGTGTGCCTTCTGCCTGGGGAGCCCACAGGAACCTGTTCCCCTCCTCCTCCTGACGGACAGTCAGGCACCTGATGGGTGGATACCAGGGAAACCCAGGTGGATTATCTGATGTGACTTTCAAAGGAGCCAGCGGAGAATTGTGTAGGCGAAACCGTTCATCCCGGCCAGAACCTAGCCGCTTCCTCACTGTACCTCTACCCAAGCCCCTCAATACCACACTGGTTGCCGCCGAGTTGATGCCAACTCGTATCAACTTCAGGTGTTACAGAGCAGCGCGGCTCCATGGGACCTTTCTGGACAGTGATCTTTGTGGAAGCAGGGCGCCAGGCCCTTCTTCAGTGGCGCTGCTGGGTGGCCTCAAACTGCCAACCTTCAGGTCGGTCATCAGGTGCTAACTGTTGGCACCACCAGGGGACTTTGGCACACTCAGTACTTACCGGGCTGCTCTAACATACAGAGTGTTTTCCAAGAATGCAGTGGCCTGGCCAAGGGAGAGAGAACCACATTTTGCTTGGTTCTGAACCTTACACAGCACTGTCTGATGGTTTGCAAAATCATGCTGCTGACAGCAAGACGCCAGTGATAGTTGAGTCACCCGGGCAGTCAACAGCTCCTGGATGTCGCAGTCTGTCTGTATAGTGCTCACCTTCCCGGCATTTAAAGTCCCAGGTGCAACCTGCAGACGGTGGCTTATCTCCCGTTGCAACTGTGCCTGAGCAGGTATGCATTTTATGACACACTGCTTTCCTTTACACATGACAGCTAGAGGAATGTTCTTCTTCATTACAGGATGTGTGTACTGAATCCTACTGGAGGAGGGCCAAGGAGCCTTTGGAAAGAAAGTGTTGGGTGAGTTGAGTTTGGCCTGTGCTTGAGGGATTCTCATGAAATTGACAGAGCCCCAGATGCCCATGCTCATTCAAGTGGGAGGGAGAGTTCAGAGGTGGCTGCGGCGGGCTGCCCAGAGAAGACTACACTGTTCGTCTCGGGCGGGGTTGCTTGATAGACAGAAGCACGTTGGCCTGGTGTTGTCCACTAGGGAACCAGTGGCCACAGAGGGGCTAGACTGCATCTGAATTCATCTTTCTTTATGATTCTGCCAGTCCTGTAGGTTTGCTCAGAAAATCCAGCCCTGGAGCCAAAGTCAACGCCAGCAGGCCCAGCCCAGCCCAGCCCAGGTCCGAAGGTTCCCAAGTTCTCAGGAAGTGGGCCTGGGGAGAGGAGATGGAGGACTGCCGCTGTATGGGGAGGAGCCCCAGGACTGTGGGCTAGCAGCAGGGAGAGGTATCTTCTGGGACTTGCAGCAGTCAATGGGACCTGGGGCGGAAGGCTCACCATCTGGATCCCCCGGGGCCCAGCCAGAGAGCCCGGGTGCCATGTTCATTCCCCTGTGCTGCCTGAGAGCTCCCGCAGCCCCATTCTGGTGCCAGGCCCTGCCATGCCTCTGCCAGCTTCGGTGGAGGCCATGCAAGGCCCGTCAGGCCAGTTGAATCAGCTCAGAGTTCAAGGCTCTGCCAGTAATATTGCCACACACATAACGCAGCCCTTGTGCTTGGAGGTATGCTAACCCCTTAAAGGAATCACTTATTGAACCCTCTTGTTTTTTCACAGAAGGTAGAGGGGGAAACAGAGGCACAGAGAGGTCAGATCCCATTGCTGGAGAGTATACAGCCTGTTCCCACGCTGAACCCCTCTCCAGCAAGACTGCCCACTCTTCCCGGCTGGAAGGGCTCTGCCTCACATCTTTGGGAATGTTGCTGCTGTTGGACTTGGTTTCCCCCACTCGATGGCGTGGGCATACCCTGTTCTGCGGGCCAGCTCCTGAGTGGTACCCTCCGACTCGGGGCTCTCTCTGGGCCCTGGGGTGTCTACCACAGGCCAGGGAGGGGACTTGGGGTGAGAATGGGCTTCCAGTTCTGAGCTCAGCTTCCTCCGAGGTGGGGGGAGGAGAGGGAGAAGGACCCTGCTCTGGGGGAGATGACCCTTGGTCTCAG